CCAGCACCATAGCTAGGCAGCTCACAGTTTTTTAGCCTCTGGCTCATGCATTTTTGTCTTAGCTCAGGAAGGATGGCCCCAGAGCAAACTAATTTATGCAGTAGCCAAATTGCTCACTCACAGCATTAATGCCAGCAGCTCACAAAGTAGGATTTTTGCTCACGAGACTCCACAGCTTAGAGGGAGCACTGGTGCTCGTTCACTCCATAACATTCTTTGTTCAGCTCCTCCCTCATCCTTGCGGGTTCTTAAAATGTGCCCAGGGCATTCTGCACATGTGTGCTTAGAACACCTGCCAGTTCTGTGTGTGCTGGCTTAGTTTTGTAGGTGCCCAGGCTGGTTTGTAAACATTTTATCGAGTAATTGGCTAATAAATATTTATAGACTTCGCTGTGTACCTGTTTTATCTAGCTGTGGATCTCATTTGTTGCTGGCAGATATAGATCTTTCAGGTTAATTGACTTCAGTGCTATGACTGTGTGGGTCGTCGTCCCCCCCCATTCATAATTATATGTGCCGATCAGTGTACTGCGCCCACCTCTTAGCCAGGTTGCTGGTTTCACATCATCTCTCCTTTTGTTTGGCTCTTTAAAGTAACTGTTGCCCTGTTGCCTTCAGTTCTTGCTTTGTGCTTTCCAAAGATCTAGCCAGCCGCCTACATTCTGGGAGTTACCTTCATCCTAACAGTTTGTGCAGGTGTAGCACCTTCCTGTCTTTTAAAGTGGTGGCTCTGATTGAAGTATTTGGCTGTCTGTACCAGGAGGTGTTCTTCTGGATCAGGAGCTTAATGAATGTTGTGATCAGTGTTTTAACCACTGAGCGTTTTCACAACTGCATGTGAAAGATGGTTTCCATGAGCAGTCAGTCACTCTGTTTTTATTACGGCCCACGGGCCATTCAGAAGCAGGAAAAAAATGCTATTATAAAAATTCATGAGTGTGACTGTGATCTGAGGAGTTCCATTAGGCACCTAGAAGAGCTTGAGTGTGGCCAGTGGGATTGTAGACCCTTGGGCCCTTTCCACACAGTTTGGCGTAGTGGTTAAGTATGCAGACTCTAATCTGGGAGAACCATGTTTGATTCACCACTCCTCCACTTGCAGCTGCTGGATGACCTTTGGGAAGCCATAGTTCTCTCAGAGTGAGAAGCGGGTTATAGATCCAATCTCTTCTCTTCTTTCTTCTTCTTTGGATGCTGTTTTGGCATGGGAGGCTGTTCCATGAGAAACCCCAAGGCACAAGCGCCACTGGCACACAGAGTTTCATGGTCCTTGGGTTCTGAGCTGTGGGCGTGTTGCCTGCTGGTGAAACGCACTTGTGAGGAAAAGCCACGAAATAATTTGAACCTGCAGCTTTTTCCTCTGAGGTGTATCTGTTATGAACGTTCTTGCATTTCTTTGAATCCAGAGCAATTGTTAACATTTCCTAGTATATTATTAATCAACGGTGTTGCTTTCCAGACTCCCGTCTCTTCATAATTGAACTGTGGAGCTTGAAAAATACATATTATAATTGCAATTTTTCCTGTTTTATAAAATAGCATATTTTTAAAAAATATACCCATCACAATATTTTTGCGTACGTTAATGGATTTAACCCTAATCCTATGAGCTGCATGGACATCACCCCCTACGGCAGTTTGGTGTAGTGGTTAAGTGTGCGGACTCTAATCTGGGAGAACCGGGTTTGATTCCCCACTCCTCCACTTGCAGCTGCTGGGTGACCTTGGGTCAGTCACACGCTCTGGCACAGCTGTCCTTGAAAAAGAGCAGTTTCTGTCAGAGCTCTCTCAGCCCCATGTACTTCACAGGGTGTCTGTTGTGGGGAGGGGAAGGGAAAAGAGTTTGTAAGCCCCTCTGAGACTCCAAGTGAAGGGCGGGGTATAAATCCAATCTCTTCTCTTCTCTTCTTCTTCTACGATTAGAATTAGGACTGGTCCTCAGTTGACTCCTGCGTGCAGAACAGCCTTTGGCGCTGGTAGGGCAGTGCTTGTTCCCAGGCATTGGTGGGCTCAGCCCATAGCATTGTGTTCTTTCTAAGAGCAATTAGAGGGACTATCGCTACATCAGCAGACCTTTGATATGTGTGTGAAAGTGTGTGTGTGTGGGGGGGGATTGGCTTGTAAGCCAAGTCGGTGTTGTGGGCTGTCGGGGCGAGTGTGGTGGAGTTTGTTGCCCACCACAGAATCCCGCTCCACTTTCTTTGGGAAGTATCCACTCTGACAGGTAAGGTGGACTTGTAACAGACAAAGCCCAGACGTCCATCTTTCCTTAATTCTTCAGACACCTTTCAAAACGCATCATATAAATTTGTGACTTTGAGGTGAATCCTTGTCAAGTTTTACGTTGTGGGCCACGTTCAGCACGAGGGATGCACTCTTGCTTCTATTTCTCCAGGTATCAAGCACGCAAAAGGAGTCTTTGGAAAGCCACCTACAAGTGCACTCGGCAGCTCTGGACAGCTTTAGTGAAATGAACAGCTCTTTGACCTCGGCCTCCATTGAGTTGCAGGTAAATCGCTGATAGTGCTGTCGCCATAGATACCTGGCTCGGTTGGCAAACATCCCCGCTCTTGCACCATTTGTTTAAAGTATGGGCAGGACAAAAGGAGAACTAGATAAACGTTTGGAGCCAAGGGATTGGTTTCTTCAAATGCCCAGTGGGAGAAAGGGATTGTGAATTTTAGAGCAAATTTTTAGAGAGAGGCAGTTGCATACAGTAAAATAGCACTCCCTTCAGTGTCACACAAGATTCTGTTTCTGAAAAGAAAAATGTGACAATGGTAGGGGTTGTGTGTTTTTTTGTTTTTTACAGTAATAAACATATATCTTAAGGGCTTATGTTCCCCAGTATAGACACACTTTTGTAGATTTCATACATGTAGAAGTTTGCAAACAAAGTGGTGTATAAAATATCAGGTTTTAACACATTCATAGGACAACAGAGTTAGGGCAGATGGCTTTGCCAGTTTGGTGTAGTGGTTAAGTGCGCGGATTCTAATCTGGGAGAACCGGGTTTGATTCCCCACTCCTCCACTTGCACCTGTTGGATGACCTTGGGCAAGCCATAGTTCTGTCAGAGCTGTTCTTGAAAAAAGAGCAGTTTCTGTCAGAGCTCTCTCAGCCCCACCTACCTCACAGGGTGTCTGTTGTGGGGAGGGGAAGGGAAAGGAGTTTGTAAGCCGCTCTGAGACTCCCTTGGGTAGTGAATCCAACCTCTTCTCTTCTTCTCTTTATTCTTTTATGTTGGTAACCTGCCATACATTTCTTTCAGTGTCTTTTAATATAACATGTTAATTTATTTCAATGGCTTCCTTGTTTTTGGCCCCATAGCTGACCATTCAGGATTAACGATTGGCTACTCTGCGGTTTTGCACAGTCCTTGGTGCTTCTTGGGCAGATTTATACCACAGCTTTTTTTCCCAGTCATCGTGTAGAAAAAGAGGGACTGCCATTTGGCAAGGGGCCCTGTGAACAGTGTACCCTACCCGTGACCCTCTTGTATACCACACGCATTTGGCAGGTCTGGCCCTTGAGGTTTGTTAAATGTGTGTTGGCTGGGCTGGAGAATAGACAGCCTAGTTCTGCTTGGACCTTACCAGACAGCGAGTTTAAAAAAAAAAATTAAATCTCCTTCTGGTGATAGAAAAACAGTAAACCTCTGCTCTGCTTCTCAAGTTGAAACAATTGAACATATTTTACTCCACTGTACATTTTATGAAACAATCAGTAAAAATAATTCATCCTGTTATAAGGAGGTATCACGGATACTTGGGCAAGGAGATAAGTAGGAAGCTATTATTTGATCCTGCTCCACAGATCATAATAAATTGTGCTAAATTTCTAGCAATAGCCCAAAAAATATGTGCTGCACATGTAGTACAATTTTAGAAAGAATCCAGAAGATTTAGGAGATGGGGAGTAGAATTGTATAACCCCTATAATACTTACTCGAATAACAGTTGATAGAGTATTGTAGAAATTTAGAGTTTTAGTAATTTTGTAATTAACATACGCAGATTAAACGCAGTTTTATATTTAAATATTTTATATCTATTATTGGTACCCTTTTTGTATTGTCTGTAATTGGGCTGATGATATACCGAATAAACAAGCTAAACTGATAAGGAATTAATTTTTTTACTTCACTGCCTCTCTTTTTACAGAAAACCCTAGTTGACGTTACTTTGGAGAACACAGTTATACGAGATCAGATAAAGAGTCTGAAACAAACGCACGAACAGTCCATGGAAAAACTGAAGGAGAAGCAGAAACAACTGGAAACGGCCCGAGTGAAGAACGAATTGCTCAAGCTGAAAGTAAGCTGGAGCCACGTATTTCCCTGCTTGGGGTTCTGAGGGTAGCAATTATCAGCATGAGGGAATGTCACGATGTGACCTTTGGAAAAGCCCCAGGGTCATACTGGACCCAACATTGCCGGAAAATGAAGTTAACACAGTTGCAAAAAAAAGGCTTTCTTCCAACTCACCCTAGCTCAGAAAATAGCCCCTTACCTTGATACAGCTGATCTGCCAACCTAGATCCACGCCACAGAGACGAGACTACTGCAATGCGCACTACGTTAGTCTCCCCTCAAAATCAGTTTGGAGACTCCAGTTGGTGCAGAATGCTGCAGCTCGGCTGTTGCCAGGAGCTTGATGACACATGGATACTACTCCCATTCTGCAGTCACTCCACTGACTGCCCACCTGGTACTGGGCTCAGTTTAAAGTACTGGCTATCGCATACGTGGCCTTTGCCCCTCATATCTGCAAGACTGTCTCTCCTCCTGTGCTTCACCACATCAGCTTCTCTCATCTGAGCAGGTGCCTTCCGCAGGTGTCAGCCGGCACACGGGCGAAATCAGCGACTGCCCGTACACACCTGGCCTTCCCTGTGGTGGCCCCCCCACTTTGTGGGGCCCTCTGCCCGTGGAGGTCAGGAAGGCTCCCACTCTCTGGGATTTTCTGCAAACTGTGCGAGACTGAATTTTTCCGGAGGGCTGTCTTTTGCTGCTGGTGCAGCCTGCCTTGGGTTTCTTCGGCTGGAGTAAAATGTCCCTAATCCCCCTACAGGTGGAATGCTCGCAAGAGGCTAATGCGGAAGTGATGAGAGAGATGACCAGAAAGCTGTACAGTCAGTACGAAGAAAAGCTGCAAGAGGAAGAACAGAAGCATAAACTTGAGAAAGAAACCCTCATAGTAAGTGGACTAACCGAAGGCTGCCGCCGTTGCACACTCTCTGGACCGCATGGGGAGAGGGGGTGGCCCCTTTAATATTAAAAGCCCCAGCTGAGGAGGTTCAGTGGGCCTTTCACGGGGTGGCTGTGCCCACCCCAACCCAGTCAGCAGTAGAGGGGCCCCCGGTTGGGTGGGTTGGAATGGAAAGCTGGCCACCATCCACAGAAACCTAGTGATGGCTTCAGGCCCCTGTGATGTGGCTTTGTAAGTAGGCCTTGCAGGTATACCTGTGCAATGTACATTACACATACACATGAAGCTGCCATCTACTGAATCAGACCCTTGGTCTCTCAAGGTCAGTCTTGTCTACTCAGACTGGCAGCCGCTCTCCAGGGTCTTGGGTGAAAGTCTGTCACGTCACCTACTGCCTGGACTTTTAACTGGAGATGCCGGGGATTGAACTGGGGACCTTCTGCATGCTAAGCAGAGGCTCTACCACCAAGCCACAGCCCCTTCACCAAAAGGCACACATGAAGCTGCCTTCTACTGAATCAGACCAGGAGTCCATCAAAGTCAGTGTTGTCTACTCAGACTGGCAGCCGCTCTCCAGGGTCTCAGGCAGAGGTCTTTCACATCACTCACTATCTGGTCCATTTAACTGGGACCTTCTGCATGCCAAGCAGAGGCTCTACCACTGAGCCACAGCCCCTCCAAAATACAAAGTAGTATTTGCAGAATCTAGTACCTGTTATTTCCAGTCTTTCTCTCTCTTTGAAAATGCACACCTCTCATAAGATGGGGAAACGTTTCTGAATTAGCAGATATAAAGGACCAAACATCTGCCTAGCAGGAAATCCACTTGAACTTGCCTAGCAGGAAATCCACTCGAACTTGCCTAGCAGGAAATCCACTTGAACTCAGCAGGCCTTTGAAGCAAACATACATAGAATTGGATTGGACAGCTAGAGTTGAGTCCGTGAATCTTGTTCTGCTACTGCAGACCAAGACGGTTACTCTTTGAAACTATAGCGCTGGGTTGTAACAGTTTGTTTGCTTTCTGAGTTAAAATTTCTCGTAACCAAGTCCCATATGAATTCTGTTCTGCATAACGCTGGGCCAGTGGCAGCACAAGAATTGTGTCCACGGTGCCTGCAAGGCTGTCGTTCAGTAGTCTGGTTCGAAGATCATGCACAGGAATAAACTTGGGGGTGGGGGTCCGGAAGCAGGTTGTCGATGGGCCAGTGGAGGTAACCTGGGACCCGTCACAAATTCTCACTGTGGCCTACCATACAGGGTGGTTGTGAGAGAATGGAGGAGGGGAGAACAACATTCTAAGCTGCTTTGGTGTCATGGTTAAGAGCTGTGGACTCTAATCTGGAGAACAGGGTTTGATTCCCCTCTTCTCCTCCACATGCACCCAGCTGGGTGACCTTGGGTCAGTCACAGTTCTCTCGAAGCTGTTCTTTCAACGGCAGTTCTCTCAGAGCTCTCTCAGACCCACCTAACTCACAGGGTGTCTGTTGTGGTGAGAGGAAGGGAAGAAGAGGTTGGATTTATACCCCGCCCTTCACCACCCAAAGGAGTCTCAGAGCACCTTACAATCTCCTTCCCCTCCCCACAACAAACACCCTGTGAGGCAGGTGGGACTGAGAGAGCTCTTTCGAGAACTGCTCCTGAGAGAACAGCTCCGAAAGAACTTGTCACTGACCCAAGGTCACACCAGCAGCTGCATGTGGAGGAGTGGAGAATCAAACTCAGTTCTCCCAGATTAGAGTCCGCTCTCTTAACCACCACACCAAACTGTCTCTCAGACTGGAAGGAGATTGTAAGCCACTCTGAAACTCCAAGTGAAGGGCGGAGTATAAATCCAATCTCTTCTTCTTTGAGTCCCAACGGAGGAGAAAAGCAGGACATAACTAAATGAATGCCGTGCATGCTTTGGGAGAGGAAGGTTCTGGGGATGACTCTGAGAAGTGAACCTGAAGCAAGGACAACGTTCTGTGGGTGGCTGCTTTCAGGAACCTCTGCGCATGCAGGCTCTAACGTAAAACTTTTCCTTGGCAGGCTGAGACGAATAGACTGCTCAAGGCCATTGAAGATGCAAATAAGAGGATGAGGCTGACGGAGACGAGTTTACAAGAAAAAGACCAGAAGATCGGTGATCTGGACCAGTTCATTCAGCGTATGGAAGAGGTGAGGGGCTGCCATGAAGTCAGTCTGTTTCGGGGAAAATATGGCTTTACAGAGAGAGCCCTGGAAGGTTAATCCCCATCAGGGCTTGCATTCCACCGTCTGGTCACTCGAGCTGATGTCTTTCCCAGTGGCCTGACCCAGGCTTCCCTTTCCACGCGTTCAGACCCTTCCCCTTTTGGCTGCTAAACAGCTCCCAAGTGAACTGAAACTCCCTGAGAGTAGCAGTTCTGATCCCTACATACTTCCTATAACTTTAACAGTATTGCTGTCAAACAAGTTATAGCTGATTCTCTCCCGCTGTCTTGTGTCGCCTGCCCTGCCCTGCCCTTTGCGTTCCATGGACTTTGCCCCAGGGTGAACACCATGCGGGCTTTCAGATGGTGGCTTTTTTGGTATGTGATTAACATGTTCCCTGTGCGCCCCCAAGTCAAATAACTTAATTTGGGAAGCTGGCGTTCAGGGAGCCTCACTATGCTAAATCTAGAACAAATTTAGAGTCCAGTGGCACCTTTAAGACCAACAGAGGTTTATTCAGGGTCTCAAAGGTGCCCCGCTGGACTCTAAATTTGTTCTACTGCTTCAGACCAACACAGCTGACCACCTGGAACGATGCTAAATCTACTTAGGTTGCAAATAGGACCCATATCGCGAGAGAGGGTTAGGCTCGTCCCAGGTCTCTTATTTCAGAGAACTGTCTCTTACTAAGTGATAAAACTTTACTGTTCCTTTTCAAATTAATAAGCACCATGACTGCAACAGGCAGCTTTACAAGGATTCTAATTAAATGCTGGTAGAGTTTTGACGATCATAAGATGTCGTCTTCCTTATTTTATGCCTGTTAAACGCATGTTCTGTGAAGTACTCTATAACAGTGGCAGAATGATGCTCTGAAAGGTCAATAGTAGACTATTAACACCATCTGGAGATTAATTTTGTAATATTATATTTATGGTATTATAACTAGGATTATGATATATGTATGTATATTTTTACTGATGTAAATCGCCCAGAGCCCTGTGTATTCAGGGATTGGGCGATTCAGAAATCTAAAGTATAAATAAACAAAGGGCAGTGCTGGAGATCTGAGTTTTGTTCTACATGAGCAGCAGAATGAGGTGGTGGAATGGGCCAGTCTGGAGGCAGAGGATCATACTGCAGAATGCTCCTCTGTGCGAGGCAGACAAACCAACAGTAGCCTCCCTGCAGACAGAAAAGGAGTCTAACAAACTCCCTGCTGTACTAGAGAGCCAGTCTGGTGTGGTGGTTAAGTGCGCAGACTCTAATCTGGGGGAACCGGGTTTGATTCCCCACTCCTCCACTTGCACCTGCTGGATGACCTTGGGCAAGCCATAGTTCTGTCAGAGCTGTCCTCGAAAGGGCCATTTCTGTCGGAGCTCTCTCAGCCCCACCTACCTCCCAGGGTGTCTGTTGTGGGGAGGGGAAGGGAAAGGAGTTTGTAAACCGCTCTGAGACTCCTAGTGAAGGGCAGGGTATGAATCCAATCTCCTCTTCCCTTCTTCTTCTCTTCTAGAAGATTTTTCTCTGATGTGTTTTGCTTACAGGTTGAGGGGCTTGCTCAAAATGCTCTCCTCCACGTTCAGTCTAAAGCACAGTGTGGCACTTCCGCTACCACATCCTGCTGCCTGTGTAGGCGAGGCCTTTATTTTCCCATTAGTTACAAGGTTTTGGACAATGGCCGCAGTCAGGCTAAGCAGAGTTCAGCACCAAGAAGCCGCATGCCCTAGGAGAGGGAGTGAAGAACAGAAGGCAGGGAATACAGGCAGGGCCGGGTGGGCAACAAGGAAAAAGAGCCAAGAAGACCGGAGGAGGAGGCAGGAGGGAGGAGGCAGAAGGAGCCGGGGCTTTCAGCCCACCAGAAGGCCAAGGTGAAAAAGAGCTGAGACCGAGGCAACTCTGTGGCTGCGGAAAAGAGCCTTGGGGAGGGTTCTGAGAGAGAAATGGTGTCTGCTGTGGGGCCAGGAAATGGGTCCTTTGGGGCCAGGTGCTTGGATTGCCACTACCAGTGCATTCATTCCAGGGTGCATCTCATGGTAGTTGAACAAGAGCATCATATTTATTTATCTGTTTATTTAGGAACGTCACCAATTGCAAAAACAGCTCCTGGAGTATGAGCTACAACTGCATGGAGCAAACCTGCACAGCCAGGCCAGCAGGCAGAGGTAGGGTCCTGCTTCTCTCTGGGATTTCTGCTGCTGATAAGATGCCCCCAACTCTAGTTGATCAACTTTAGATCAGGAGGGGTATTCACAGGGGGGGCCCAGCTCATTTCCTCATGCAGACAACGGCCCCCTTTTTTTCCGGCTGTCAAGTTGCGGCAAACGTATGACAACCCCGTAGTGTGGTCAAGGCGAGAGACCTTCAGAGGTGGTTTCCCATTGCCTGCCTCTGTGTAGCAACCGTGGAGTTCCTTGGAGGGCTCCCATCCAAGCAGTGACCAGGCCTGACCCTGCTTAGCTTCTCTGACGAGATAAGGCTGACCTGGGTTATCCACAACAGGGCCAACTGCCTGTTACACCCTTTTTTGTCTCGGAGGAATATTCATACAGCTTTTCCCTTCCCTGAAAATCCTGGATGTGGTCATGAGGACAACAGTTAACCATTATTAGCACATTTGCAAGAAGTGCTGTGGGTGGGTAAGATGTGCTGCAGAATGTTTTCCACGAAGCCTAGAAAAAAGTGTTCTGGCCCTGTCATTGGGTGCCTAGGCATGGTCGTGACTATCGATCTGTTCTGTATCGATGCATGATTTGGAGGTGGCGTCTCCTTTTTTTATTTGTTTTGCCCAGTCGTTCTTGAAAACTGTTTACACTTGCTTGGGAACTTTGATAGCGATGGGAGCTGCTGAGATGCTCCATCAGCTAGAAATCCTATCTGAATCCGTGTGGGCAAGCGACTGGGACATTTGCTTTGTCAATGTATTCAAAGGGGAAGGCAAGAGCAGTAGCGCTGACATCCTGGGCTGCACTGGCCGTGGCGACAGCAGCCACTCTGTCGTTGTTCAGGAGTCTGCCCTACTCAAGTAGACCAACTGATCTGGCTTTATCCCAGGAGTGACTCAGGGCAGGGCGGAAAGCGTATATGCAGTGGTGAATCACAGGTCAGGTGGCTTCCCCTCCCCTTCCACATGTTCCCCTTCTGGTGTTAAAAGTCAATGCCACCCCCCCACCCCCACATGTGGAAATAAATCTGACTGCTAGCCTTTTAATAAAAGAGATAGATACCAAAAATAATATAGACTTCTGAGCTTTATTTTGAATCATAATTTTTTTATTCCACCCTTCCTCAAAGGAATCACAGCCTTCGGGGAATTATTATGTTTACATTTGTCAAATCTGATCCCCAAATTCTCTTCCTTGCCCATTTTTCCAAGTTTGGATTTTGCTTTCTTTAGTTGACCCTCCACGCTTTGAAATGGTCTAGTACATAACTTTGTGAGAAACAATTCCGTAAGATAAGGATGAACTTCGGAAGGTTGCTGATAGAAGGGTCAGTGTCTTGTTTGTTCAGGCTCAGCTGCCAAAGCTTCAGAAGCCCCAGAGTTGTTGTTCATGACTGGGAGAATAGGCACTGAAGATCCATTCGCTGGATCTTTCAAAAGAAGGAGGTCATCAATACGAGGCTGCTTTGCAATGTTAGAAGGGATATCTCTTGCACGCTAAGATATCTCCTGCACGCTTCTTTTTCCTCCCCATTGTTAACCAGTCATGTCTTGTTCGTTGGTTTATTTATTTAAAACATTTATTAGCTGCCTTTCTTCCTCATGGCGCAAGGCAACTTACAATACATACATACAAAATACATAAAAGTGGATTACATTAAAGATACATGAAACCAAAATTTAAAATCACGAGAGGCGCTTTCACACACACCAAATAATGCACTTCCAATCTACTTCCAGTGTACTTTGCAACTGGATTTTACTGTGTGAAATGGCAAAATCCACTTGCAAATGGTCACTGAAGTGAATTGAAACGGCATTATTTAACACTAGTAGCAAAGCTCGTTGTAAAAGGAATACAATGAGCGCTAGCAAAATCTCAGTCTGGCCCTCCTCCTTGGCCGCCTTGTCATCTATGGCACCAGTCTTCATCCGCTCACAGCCCGCCCTGCCAGCTGCAGCTGTCCACGGGTGGCAGCATGGTCAGCCTCAGCCTCCTTACCGTGTGGCCGCCGGATCATTGAGCCTGTCCATCGCCTCGCAGCACACCGAGGGCAAGAGGCTGGCCACCGCTTCCATGGTCTCGCAGCCCAGCTGGATCCCTGCATCCTGGCACGGCTGACGACGACCAATGTGGCACTGCCATGTTCGGCCTCGGCCTCCTAAGCCTTCGCCCGGCGGAGTGTCCATCCCCTTCAGCGGCTTCCTCCAGACTGAGGCCAAGCTCTGGGTGGGACTGAGGCAACGCAGCGAGGCAATGCAGCCAGGGGATTGGCAGACCTTCCGAGTGATTGATCAGGCAGCCAAGTGATTTGGGAGCGCATGGAACATTGCCACCCGAAAACAGAATTGTATATAAGGAGAGATGTGTGAAAGCTTTATTTTTTACATGGAACAAATCATACATAAAAGGGAAGTGTTCTATCTTTTGCAGATCTCTCTTCTTAGGTAACTCCCTCTCTAATCAACATGAAGTGACTCCCACAGAGGTGGTTTCAGTAACATTGACATAGAATTTTTGCATCATCTTCTTGTTGCAGATCACACCACTTGGAGGAGGCAACGGCCAGCTTGCGCGAACGTATCAGGCATCTGGATGACATGGTTCTTTGCCAGCAGAAGAAGGTCAAGCACATGGTTGAGGAGGTGAGTGTGGCAGCTCGGGCGCTGAATAAGAGGGTCCTTAAGACGAGAGTTCGCGGGGCGGGGGCTAAAAGTACATTGCCTGACAAATATTAAGATCTTGAAATCATTTTTAAAATCAACATGCTGATGTTCTTATTGTGTTTTGTGCCACAAGGGTTGGGGGTGGGGGTTGAAAGGACAGCAGGAATTGAAATGCTAAGCAGTCCAAAGGAAAATAAGGAATTCCCAAAATGAGTTTCTAAATATAGCACCAACGTTTTGATGCAACATTTGATGCGTCCTGATATGGTAGGAGCATGAGTCAGGAGGTTGCTTCTTCAAGTGCCATCATTCGTCTCCAGTAGATCAGGCTCCATTCATGAAACATGCTCCCTTTTACAGTGGTATTTTGCACAAAATGCAACATGGGCCACTTGGTTTACGTTTGTCCATTCCACAAGCCTTTTGCCCATCATATGCAAGAATATTGTGTGTGCATAAAATGAACCAATGGTAGTGTTTCACCTTTTCTTCCTGTTCTAGATGGTATTTCCCACTTGTTTACCAACAAGCCTTGTGTGCTGTTCTCTTCTTTGCTTTTTGTACTGAGCACCAAAACTTTACTATGTCAAACTACACTGAATGAATATAGCTGTTTACAAATACCCAACTGTTTTCTGTATGCTGGTGATTTGGAGTAGGCAGCAGTTTTGAAAAGCATGGCTAAGGAATGACAGCACCAGTGTTCCCTCTAAGTTGAGTTAGTGTGAGCCAGCTCACAGTTTTTTAGCCTCCGGCTCACACATTTCTGTCTTAGCTCAGGAAGGAGGGCTCCAGAGCAAACTGATTTATGCAGTAGCCAAACCGCTCGCTCACAACTTTTAATGCCAGTAGCTCACAAAGTAGGATTCTTGCTCACAAGACTCCACAGCTTAGAGGGAGCATTGCCTGAGACCAGTGTTCCCTCTAAGCTGAGTTAGTGTGAGCTAGCTCACAGTATTTTAGCATCGAACTCACACAGATTTTTGTCTCAGCTCTGGAAGGACGGCTCCAGAGCAAATGAATTTATGCAGTAGCCAAATCGCTCACTCACAACTTTTAATGCCAGTAGCTCACAAAGTAGGATTCTTGCTCACAAGACTCCACAGCTTAGAGGGAGCATTGCCTGAGACCAGTGTTCCCTCTAAGCTGAGTTAGTGTGAGCTAGCTCACAGTATTTTAGCATCGAACTCACACAGATTTTTGTCTCAGCTCTGGAAGGACGGCTCCAGAGCAAATGAATTTATGCAGTAGCCAAATCGCTCACTCACAACTTTTAATGCCAGTAGCTCACAAAGTAGGATTCTTGCTCACAAGACTCCACAGCTTAGAGGGAGCATTGGCCAGCACATGTCACTTTCTCAGAATCAGTAGCGCTTTCCCACTCTAACGAGTTCTCTATGAACTTAAGCGAGTGTTCACTGATGGGCCTAATTTAGAACATGGCTTGGAATGGACAATTCTTGACCTTTTTAATCCAAGGATACAATGCGAAGGTAGACACTAGTCTAACTGAGGACAGACGTGGTCGTGTGTTCATTTCATGGATTATGGTTATATCCTGAAGTATGCATTGTGGGCCTTCTGCTGTGGAGAGCAAGCACTTGCCATTCAGATGTGACAGCAAACTCGGGTTGCTGCTAAATTGGGAACAGTGGAGAGGGAACATGGAAGTCTGGCTGATTCATGTTTCTTCAGAACATGTATCCACTTAAGCAAAAAAAGGAATTGGGAGGGGGGAGGTGTTTGGAAAGCAGATTTAAGCCCCAGAGCAGTACAGTGGATTCACCTCCAAAAGTGTATTGTTTATTTTAGACTTTATTCCTGTGAAGATACTTTGAGAGACGAATAAAATAAGGTGTACTAGACTTTGCATTTTTGAAAATGGCAACAGATGTTGACGCAGCTTCTTTATGTAATAAGAGCTCCAGAGTCTCGTTTTTTAGTATTTTGATGGCTCAGGAGACTTTATAGTTCAAAAGAGAGGCTCCATAGGTGGGTGTAGAATCTGGGTACGTTTTAAATGTGACCTCTTAGAGTGAATCCCGAAAGAAACCTGAGTGTCAATGCTGTGCTCTCTGCTGGTTTCTATGGTAGAAGGACCTTGGTTAAAGTGGGACCTTGGGCAAGCCATAGTTCTGAAAGGGCAGTTCTTGAAAAAGAGCAGTTTCTGTCAGAGTTCTCTCAGCCCCACCTGCCTCACAGGGTGTCTGTTGTGGGGAGGGGAAGGGAAAGGAGTTTGTGAGCCGCTCTGAGACTCCTCTGGGTAGTGAAGGGTGGGGTATAAATCCTATCTCTTCTTCTTCTTTTCGTTCTTGCCCCTCATCTTCTTTCCTTGGGTGTTCTTCACCATTAGGCAACATATAATTTCTATCAGCTTTGGGTTATATGTTGAGCAGTTGTGCGGAATGAATGTGCAGGGCTGTTGATGTATAATGTGTGTGTAAGGAACTAAACATATAGCAGACCTGAAAAACTAACCTGAAATTATGAGTTAGTACTTGTAAGGACAGCAGTACAAGACTGGAAATGAACAGAGGAAGACCTTTGGATGAAGACTGTTTTAACCTGCCATGTATGAATAATAAGAAATTTAAGTATAGATGTTTGAAGAAAGAGAACTGAAAAACCGGGGGGGTGGGGGAGGAGTTCAGAAAATGATTTAAAAGAGCTACAGAGAAATTTAATTTTTGTGTTGTGGCCTATGGGTAGTGATGATCCACTCCAGGAAATCAACTGCCATGATTTTGACTTCGAATGGAGATCAAACTTGAGGGTGTGTTTGGCCCCACTCAGTCAGAGGGATTGCAGCTTCTCATTGTTGGTTTCTATGCCACTCCTGTAAGGTTTGGGTTTGGAGGGGCCATGTGGAAAAAGCAGACATTTTTGCTGTCAAGTCAGCACTGGCTTCTGCTAGGGGAAAGTTGGGTCTAGGAGGGATAGTAATTGCATCACCCATCCCAGTCGCATCCCATTTCATAAACTGCTGAAAGTGGTGTGGGAACCAATTGCAAGGAAAGAGCAGTGAGAGCACACGTGTTTATGCCCCTGGCTTTCATTGTCATGGTATAATTTGTGGTAACCACTTTGCTTTGCCTGCACACACAGTTTTAAATTAATGGACTTAATTCTAAGCTACTTCCAAGTGTGAGTTTCCTGCTCATCCACTTTTCATGCAGAGGTTAAAACAGAACCAGGCAAAGAGACAGGATGAGTTTTTGAGTTTTGATCGCTGATAGGTGGCTTTCTTGCCGACTGGCCAAGTGAAATGGTGGTGAGCAAGATCCTAGCCCTAAAAACAGACCTGCTGGGATGTTCCTACTTTTCTGAGAAAGGTCAGTGGGAGGTGGAAAGGCTCAGAATGAGAGCAGCGGATGTGGCAAAGTGATGGACATTTGGGACCAGACTGCTGCTACACTTCCTTTGGAAGGTCCTGAAACACACTTCGGGGGGGGGGGGCCAAAATAGTTTATAACATTATGCGTGGGATAGAGCAGGTAGAGAAAGAAGTACTTTTCTCCCTTTCTCACAATACAAAAACTCGTGGGCACTCCATGAAATTGCTGAGCAGTTGGGTTA